GGGGCTATGGGGATCCTGGCCTTGATTTTTGTTAGCCAGTTCCAGGCGCCCCCCGTCACGAAATCGCGGGGAGCCGATGCCTGGTGTTTTTTTTCTTTCGTTCTTCGCCACTTTGTCACAAAAAGCCCGTGACGTCGGAGGTCTGGGATTTTACCCGGTGTGTCTGGCGGGTTCTGCCCTCTTGCCACCCTCGCGAGTCTCCGCCTTCTCGCAGAGGGTCGGCTTCTTTCGGATGGCCCGCAGTGCCCTCGAGCCGATGCGTGCGCAGAAGGTCGAGAACTTACCTGGTGGTGGACGCGGTGGCGAATGAAGCGTTGGCGCTCGAGCTTCTCTCTGCGGCGCGAGCACCACTCGACGTGGCCCATCGCCATCAAGGGCGGGCACCAGCGTCTTGCGGCGGGGCTGCCCCTGGAAGCTTACAGACACTGGCTGCTGGGCTGAGTCGGGACCTCCATGGCCTTGGCATCGCTCGGACGTGTGCATTTTTCCTTCGGCGAGGACCATCGAGGAGCATCCTTGATCATTTGGCGGAAAAACCACCTACGAAACCAAAAAAAACACAGGGAATGGACGTCCGAGCGATGGCCAGAGGGTGCCACTCTGCCAAGCTGGCTTGGCCCGCGCGGGTGCGGACGGCGTAGGCGGCGACGCGCCGGGAGCCATCTTCTCCGAGACGGGGATTTCGCCATAATTACCGTCCAGGGGATCGATCTCGGGGCACCTCGGCAGCGGGCGGATATGGATAGATGCGGCCCCCCCCTGCGGTGAAAAAATGTCCATACCCACTGCCCCCTGAGGTCCCAGGATGTCGGTTCCCCGGCGGTGGCAATCTGGGCTTTCTGGCCAGTGCCAGGAAGCCGGCGCAACTGCTGGAGGGAGCTGGCGCAGCCCGGCTCCCAGGAGACTCCAGGCGCGCAGCGGTACTCTGCGGCCCGCATTGGCGAGGAGGAGTCAGCAGGGCCCGAGGCATACGAGAAATGGTACTCTTGATTTGTCTCTGTGTGATATCCCCAGGGGTTCTCTTCTCGTCCCTCGCCTCTCTCCGAACACACGTCGGCTCCGCGTGGACCCCTCGGCCTCATCCACACACTCGCCGGCCTCCTCTTTCCTCTGCTCGACCCCCTATTCCTCAAGGCTGGGCCACTCCAGCGGCTAACGGCTAACTTCTGTGGCTCCCTTGAAGTACGAGGCGATGTCAGGGTGATTCCAGGTGATCCGCGCGAGATTTCTCCGTTCGATCCAGCCGTCTAAGGCAGACAAGGAATCGTCGCTCACGAGACACACCGCGAGCGCTAACAGTGGCCCACATGGAAGAGATATCTCCCGAAGCGACACCCCGTCCTTACATCTTACGTGGACAAAGCAAGTGCCCACTAGCTGGAACTAGCCTTTCCAATTATTTTGAAGACGCCTGTGGCGAACCACCACCGCACCCTGCCCTTTCGAACGCGCCGATGTGGGGCAGCTTTGTATCCTGAGCTTGGACAAACGATCGGGCCACGTGTTCCTCGAGCACTTTGTGGAAACGCGTTGGGCAACTCGTGGACGAGAAAGGGGAACAAGAAGAGAGGAGGAACAACTTAAGAGAAGGAGGAAGCCTCTCAAGAGCCTCTTGTTGCACTCTTGGTGCCTCGTGCGAGCTGCAGGTTTCGGATAGTTAGGGTACGTTCTCGGGAGATCAGAAAGTGGAACCGAGAAACCCTAGAGGGTTTGGTTGGTTGACGGTTCGGGGTCTGGGCCCCAGAAGATACCATTGGTGGACGCGCGAGGTCAAACCGTGGGCGCCCACGTCGACGCTATCTTTCAACGGGTTCCTTGCCGAGCCTCCGTCCCTCTTGCAGAGCGAAGCTGCTAGGTTCAGTGGTCTCTGGAAGGCTGGCAGGGAGCCCCCGCCTCCAGGGCCCATCGATTGCCAGTATCCGGTGCTGGTGGAGGCTGCCGAACAGTCAAGAGATGCCGCGAAGACTTGCCCGTCTGGCATTGCCATGAGTGTGAGTGGACTTCGCATGAGGCACCGTGCTGCCATGGCAGACGGGGCGTTGGTCAATCCCATGCTCACGGTCAGTAGCATGGAAGCCACCACCGTCTTCTCCAATTTCATGAGGTGCGTGATCGTTTCGCTTCTGCCGAAACCAGCTTGAGGACAGAGGCCCGTCGGGCTGTTAACTTCTCCCCTTGTCGTTTCTGGAGAAGCGTGAGGAAAAGTTCGGCGACTGATTGGGGAAATCTGACCAGATACCTTGCCTCGCGGCTGGGGCATTCACGGGTGCGGTTGGTGTTGTTTGGAAGCAAATCGGTCAAAGCCGAATTTTCGACATGTTTCAGGAAACAGGTGGTTCGTTCAGTTTTGTGGGACCTGTTTGAGTTCAAATCAAGGGCAGCGTTGCGATTTGCTCCCCTGCCCCAGGCAGATTTCACGAGTTTGTATGGCGGTCTGCCGCGGCCCACGGTTCATGAGTATAACGGGTATGGTCAAGGGCCCATGTGTTCGTTGTCAGCGTGGTGGTGGCAGGGGGTTCGTTCGCAACTACCTTTGGTAGAGCGTGCGTTGTCCCGTCCATGGATCTGAAGCCGCCGTCGGTCCAGACGTCTCTCACCGTGTACATCGGCGATCAAGGCTTCCAGGCCACAGGGTTCTGCTCCGCAGGTCATCGAGCCCATCATGAATGGAGCTTCCCAGTTGCACTCTTCAGGAGGGGAAAAAACACAGACACCATTAATCGTCGACTCCCAGGAAAATATGGGAACATATGGGAATTGGGCGGGAAGAGAAAAACATAGAAAATATGGAAAATATGGGAACTCATGTTTCTTGTGTGTATTTATTTGTGTGTCCTTGGGCCCCTTGCACTCTGTCCTTCGCGAAAGCATGGAAGCCTTTTGTCTCGGAGGGCAACGCCTCTGTCGCCTGCTCCTCGTATGCCATGCGGGTGGTCCAGGATCGATGGCCTCCTGGAGGCCCTGGGAGGCGCGGTGCACGATATTTCAGCCACGCGCAGAGGGGGGTGACGGGAGGGGGGAGGGCTTCTTAGAAGCACCCCTGCTTCTTAGAAGGCGCGGGCCTTCTCTATAGGTGTAAGGCCGGCGCCTTCTAAGAAGCAGCCTCCTTCTAAGAAGCCCTCCCCCTCCCTCCAACCCCTTGTGCGCGCCGCCAAATATTGGCAGCGAGGTGAACCTTAAGGCTGATGGTACTGCAGGGGGGACCAGGAGGTCAGGAGGCAGAGGCAAGATCGGTTTCAAACGCGCGTTCGGTGCCTGCGCAGGCGTCGCGCTGCGCTGTGCCAGCGCCTCTGCGAGCGCATCCGTGCGTCAGGGATCTCCAAATCAGTTGGTTGCTGTATTTGTGTTGCACGAGTGCAAATTTATGGTAGACTGCCTGGCAGCTAGCAGTGGGTCGCTGGAGTGGCAGACTTGGTCGTTTCCGTGTTGCGCGTGTGTTGGGAAGCGTCAGGCACACAAGGTGCAGCGTGTTAGTTCGCTTGAGCAGACGTAGAATAATCATCTAGGGCACGCGTGGGCTTGGTACCATCTCCCACAGACTTGCAGTGTGACGCACTCGCGGGTCGCCGTCCTGGTGCGAGATTTCTCGCGCATCCAATTGAAACAAGATGCGGCGATTGAAAATCATCGGCACGCATGCGTGTTGTTATGTTGAAATCTACCCGACAAGTGTCTGATTCAAGTGATGCCATTCGGTAGTTATTTGTGCGGCAAACGGTTCAGTGATCCACGAATTGTGTAATCGCAGCGCCGCGCACGTCTTCAACCCGTGTTTTTGTTTTCTGTACGCAGCTAAGGGCGGGGCCGATGACGATGAGCATCGTGGCTGCAATTCGCTGGGAACAGGGGGCAGGTTCAGTCAAGACGCTGCACTAAGTACCCCTTTGCGCTGAGGGGAAGCTTTGCTTTTTCGGGCAGTCCCTTTGGCCTAGGCAGGGGAACATATTCGTGGCCGAGGCTCATTGTGGTTGCGAGGTGACCGCATGCAGACTTCAGTGCCGCGCAGATGACGCCCGACCTGAAGTCAAGCAGATGTGGCATCCGAACGCGTGGAGACCTGGAGCGCCGGCGTCCGCTGGAAGGTTGGCCCTCGGGATCCCGAGGTGGCGTTCACAAAGGAGCGGAGGGATGCTCAGAGCCCCGAATCATCAGGGGTAACTCGGGTCAGGGATAACTCGGGTTCGGTTTTCGGGAATCCAAACCCGAGTTACCCCGGACCCGAGTTACCCCGGATAACTCGGGCGTCCAGAGCCCCGAATCATCAGGGGTAACTCGGGTCAGGGATAACTCGGGTTCGCTTTTTCGGGAACCCGAACCCGAGTTATCCCGGACCCGAGTTACCCCGGATAACTCGGGCGTCCAGAGCCCCGAATCATCAGGGGTAACTCGGGTCAGGGATAACTCGGGTTCGCTTTTTCGGGAATCCAACCCGAGTTATCCCGGACCCGAGTTACCCCGGATAACTCGGGCGTCCAGAGCCCCGAATCATCAGGGGTAACTCGGGTCAGGGCTAACTCGGGTTCCTTTTTCGGGAATCCAAACCCGAGTTACCCCGGACCCGAGTTACCCCGGATAACTCGGGCGCCCAACGGAGGGATGCTCTGCAAACTGATACGCGAAGGGGCATGTTGCACACATCTCGAGGGAGGCAATTATGCCGACACGCCACCCGTTGTCGACGCGGCTGGATTCGGTTGAAGATCCAGGTCAGAACGCACCCCAGGGGGAGGTCTGTGGAGCAGCGGCATGGTTTTTTCGTTGTCCCCCAAACCTCGTTGTAGACAGTTGTCGTGGGCGACGGTCAAGACAGCATGGCGCCTAATATTCCACAGTCCCACAATCGATCTGGGCAGGTAGGGGAGCATCGCATGCACATGCGTCAGGACGGGCCGGATCATCACCAGCAGATCTCGAGCGCCCTGTCGCCAGCATGCGTGCCTCGCGCGCCTCTGGCCGTGGCGCCTCCCCGTCCGCGCCTCGATGACCTCTGTGATCGCCCGATGGCAGGCGGCAGCGGCCGGCGCGGCGCGCGACGGGGCGCGCGCGGGGCCCCGCGCTACGCGGGGGTGCTCGTGGGGTGCCTGCGCTGCGCGCCCGTCGGGGCGGTCCGTCGCGGGTGGGAAGCATACTACCAGCCTCGAGCGTACCCCTATCCCTGAGATTGACACGCCAAAAGGCGACGACAGTCTTAGGGATTCACCCTCAAGAAATAAGGGAAGCCCCAAGATTGACATCGTGATGAGGAGGTCCCCGGCATAGGGATAGGTATATGTTCCAGGCTGGTGAGCACACCCGTGCCCACGGGCTCGTGTCGGCGGCGAGCGAGGGGGGGAAATGAGGAGGAGAAGGCCTTCTCAGAAGGCGGCGGCGCAGAAGGCCTCGCGCCTTCTGAGAAGTTGTTTCTGTCTTCGGGGAAGGCTCAGAAGACTGCTGGGAAGTCCGGGGGACTTCCGAGCCTTCTGAGCAGGCACGCCCCGTCCCACTTCCCCCCCTGGCTCGCCGCCTATCGTGGTCCAGACACACCTTGGTCGCGACGCTGTGGCCCACGGGTGCGGGGCAATTCTGCGCGGCTTGGGGACAACGGAGCGGCATGAGAGGTACGTGGCCGTTGGGAGCCCGTCAGCGTTTCACTCCTTTCCTCTGCTTCGGGCGCCTGCCTCTTCTCCCAACAGCAGCACGCTGATAGGTTCCCCACGGCGGGCCTGCCGCTGCTACTTCTTCTTGCTCCACGACGGACGCCCTGCGCAGAGCGCTCCCGTGGGATCGCGCGTCGGCGTGAGCGCGCCTCGGCATCCAGGCCGCGAGGGCACGCGTGCGGATGCGCTCGCCACGCCGCGAGGTCGGGGAGAGCTTCCTCGGGGACACGGACGCCCCCCAGAGCGACCTGCTCCCGACCGGGGCGCTGTACGGCGCGTGCGGCCTCGGCGAGGCGGAGCAGCGCCGCTGCTGCGACCCGGGCCGCGGCCCCCGCGGCGACGCGAGTTGCTGGAGGTCTGCGTCCTCCTCCTCCTCCTCCTCCTCCTCCTTCTTCTCCTCCTCCTCCTCCTCCTCCTCCTCCTCCTCCTCCTCCCCCTCCTCCTCCTCCTCCTCCTCCTCCACCAATTGCGAACCCCACCCCTGCGGGTCCAATCGGTGCTGGGGTACCGGACACCCCCGCAGGGATTTCACATGGCTGCAGATGCTGTCAGACTTCTGAGCCCCAGCTGGCGTTTCTCAGAGATTTGTCCCTGCAGGGGTAGGGTTCTCATGTGGTTGCCCAGGGGCGTCTTCCAGTTCAGCACCTGCTGCGTGCCCCCGCCGGCGCTCCACGGCCCGGTGCTGGGAGCAGAGGAGGAGTGCGAGAAGCACTGGGAGGAAGGGGCTGGCCTCGTGTGGCCCGAGCTCTATAGGCTGCACAGCGACGTGCTCGCGGACAAGCTCGGCACCACGATCAGCGAGGATGCGCCGCATGCCTTCCGGGTCGCTGCGCTGCAGTACCTGTGCTGCGGGCAGCTCCTCGTGGAGGACGCCCAGAGGATAATATGCTGGGATGACCTGGAGGCGCTCTGGCCGAACGCCTCGCAGAACCGGGTCACGGAGCACCTCGACGCGGAGGAGGCTCTGCTTGACGTGCTCTTCTCGCGCCAGGCGGTGCGCTGCTGCCGCGGGGAGCTCGCGCGCCGGCTGGCGGGCCCCGGCGACAGGCGGCTGCAGCGAGGCATCGAGGACCACCTGCGCACGGCGCTCCGGCCCGAGCCCTCCCTGCAGCGGGCGGCGGCGGGCCTCTCCATCGACGCTGTGGTCGCGCTCCTGCGGCCGAGCGAGCTGCTGGCGGGGCTGGGCGCGGGCAAGTGCTGCTGCCGGCTGCGGGTGCGAGCCGGCCGCCTCCTGCCCTTCGAGTGCCCCACGAAGCGGCACGGCGCGACGCGGGGCAGGGCCGTAGAGACGCTGGCCGCGATGATGACGCTCTCCTACTACAAGGCCCTGCTCACGGTGGAGACCCTCGGCTTCCAGCTACCCGACCTGGAGGTCATGCTGAGTTGGCACGATTTTCTCCTGGACGTCAGCATCGTCCAACCGGTCCCCCATCCCCACTGGGCCCTGGTATCTCAGCCCAACCACCCTGCCCTCCTAGGCGGGGGCAGGCCCCGCGAAGCCTGTTGTAACAGGCACATGTGTTCCGAGCTCCGGGTGCAGGCACATATGTTCCGAGCACCCAGGGCCCTGCAGGCCCGCTCGCAGATGGGAAAGTGGGGGGGTCGACGACGACTCGACGACGAAGGCTACGACGACCTCGAGCCCCTGAGCTCGACGACGACGGAGACGACGACGACGAAGACGACGACGACGAAGCCGACGACGACTCTCGACGACGAAGACGACGACGACGACGACGACTCGCTCCCTGAAGCACTGCAACACCACGCGCCCCAAGCCCCGAAGAACAGACCGCCACAAACATTCCATAGCAGCACCACCCCACACCCACAGTGGGGGGGATACATCACTAGTGGCGGGGAGTTTTCAATCCCAAGACTTTTTGAGGGTCGGGGACGACGTCGGGGTGGTGTGGTGTATACTTGTATCCCCTTTTCCCTGGGGAAACAACGAAAAATGTATACATCATAATCCCGTATACACCAGGATCAGCTTTCCTGTGCGAGCTTTAGTGCGGGGCCGGAATAAGGCGTCGGTGCATAGAGTTCGGTTCCTCACATTGGGGGTGCGGGGGGCGATCCCAGTAGTATTTTCCGTGCTTTTGGGGGGGCGGGGCTCTGGACCCCCTACTTCCCCGCCCAGGTGAGTAACTCGGCGCCAGTTGGGCAAGGGCCGTGCCAGTGGGGACAGGGATCGGCAGAGCGATGCTCAGGACAGCCTGGGGGTCCCCGTGCTGTCACAGGCCGCCAACTTCCACACCAAGAATGCCCTCCTCATGCCGGACCACAAGACGGTGGGCGGCCGCGTGGCGTGGGAGCGGCAGGCCCGCTACTCGCTGGAGGCCGCGGCCTCCCCGTGGGAGCTGAAGCAGCCGGTCCTCTTCTGGCGCGGTGCCGACTCCGCGCCCCAGCAGCCCTACTGCGCAGCGTGGCTTCAAGCGAACAGCCCCTCTCTGTCTCCGCACCCTTTCAGCCACGCCGACCTGCAGGGGCTGCCCTCGTGCGGCGCCGCGAAGGGCGATCCAGGGTTCGGCAGGCAGCGGGCCGTGAGGATCAGCCACCCGCTCGTGGACGCCAAGTTCACGAGGTCACACGCTGGGGCGGACCCGCAGAGGAGGAGGAGGGAGGAGGGAGGAGGAGGAGGAGGAGGAGGAGGAGGAGGAGGAGGAGGAGGAGGAGGAGGAGGGAGGAGGGAGGAGGGAGGAGGGAGGAGGGAGGAGGGAGGAGGGGGAGGAGGAGGAGGAGGAGGAGGAGGAGGAGGAGGAGGAGGAGGAGGGGAGGAGGAGGAGGAGGAGGGAGGAGGGAGGAGGTGGAGGGAGGAGGAGGAGGTCGCACGCTGGGGCGGACCCGGAGACCCTGGCCCGCTTCGCCACGCTCTACGAGCAGGCGAGCAAGAAGTGGCTGCTGTCGCTGGACGGCTGGGCGAACGACTTCCGCCCGTCGTGGCTGCCGCACGCGGGCTCCCTGCTCGTGCGCCAGCGCTCGCCGGTGCGGGACTCCGGGGGGGCACCAGCTGCACTGAAGTCGGGCCTGTCCCCCTACAGGGGGATTGTCGACGAAAAATGAAAAATGCCCCAGAAATGGTCTAAGAATAGTCTGGGGACTATCTTTTGAGACGTTTGGGCATCTTTGGGGTATTTTTGATAGGTATTTTATAGTTTTCGTCGGAAATCTGGCTGTAGGGGGACAGGCCCGACTTACTGCTACACACACATATACACACATACACTTGCACCGCTCCTGGCTAGGGCGACCCTGGGTCAAGAATGGACGTGCACGGATCATGGAGGCGCGTGAACCCCATCTTGGGCCCAGGATGGGCCGTGTCCGGCCAGGATCGGTGCACGTGTACAGTTGGCGGTCTCCGAGGACTGGCTGGACGTGAGCGGCTTCCAGTCCGGGGCCCACTTCGCGAGCGTGGCGGCCAACCTCTCGGACGTCGCCGAGGTCCTGGAGTGGCTGAGCCTCAACGACGCGCGGGCGCGCGCTGTGGCTGCCGAGGGCCGCAGGTTCGTCGAGCGCCGCGCGTCTCCGGACGGGGCGGTGGAGTACCTCTACCGCCTGCTGGTGGCGTACGCCCGCAGGTCAGGAGGTGAAAGGGTACGAGTACCGCTACCCATCCCTCGTCGCCACGGCTGCATGCGCCTCGAATTTCTGATCAGCACACGCCCCTGGACTGGAGGCCCGGCAAGTAGCGGTATCGGTACCTCGTTGTCCTCACAGCAGGATGGCCGAGGAGCCCTGAGCAGCCAGGCAGGCCGGAGAGGGGGGTGGGAGATTTCCGCGGCTGGCTTTCAGAGGCAAAAACATTATCGGCATCAGTTAGCAGCAGTCGCGGGAGGAGCGGGAGGAGGGGGACGATGTTGAGGAGCACCAGCAGTGTCAGCGGCAGAAGGATCAATGGGAGCATACGCCAGAGCTTGAGCACAGGCACGGGCAGAAGTTCGGTAGGAGGAGGAAGAGCAGGAGAAACGGCAGTGGCGGCAGGCATAAGAGCAATAGGATCTGGAGGAGTCAGACACGGATGCGTTGAGCAGGGTGGTGAAGATGAGGACAATGACGACCAGTTGGAGGAGAGCGAGGCTGAGGAGGAGAAGGGGGAGCAGGATGATAATGAAGGACACAGATATCGAATGGGAAGCAGGATGTTGAGGAGCCCCCGCCCCCCCCCCTCGTCAACGCTACCCCCCTCTTGCTCGCCCGACATCCCTTCATGGAACGGACATTAGCCCAGGGGAAAGAACAAGCTCTCTCATGGGCGCAGTTCGCACAGAGGGCGCACTTTTTGCATCCCAGCCGCTGGTGTGGACGAGAGACCGCCAGAGAGTTGTTGCGCAAATCCTTTTGTTTGCCCTTGGGTTCCACGACGAACCGTGACCACCCTGTGTCTCACTCCCCCTCCTCCCTCCGCCCTCCTCCACTTCCTGCCGGTACCACCTCCCCCGCCTTCTCGATCCTTCCTCCCCGCGCCCTTGATGATGAAGGCGGCGACGGCGGCGGCGGCGACAACGACACGCGCCCCCCTCCTGCGCGCAGCCCCACCCCTCCTGCCCCTGCCCCCACCCGGCGAAATCAGCAAAGGCCTCCGAAGACCTCAGAGAACCGTCGAAGATCTCTAAGGATACTGAGGAATCGGGGTGGGCGAAGGGAGGGGGATGTTGAACGAGAGGGAAGTTTCCACGACTTCCATTACCGATCGCCACGTTTCGCCCATCAAGGGACTTCGAGGGATTCATCGGGGAGCCTCCGAGAAACTCCGAGGACATCTGGACACCACGAAGGGCCCCCGAACAACTGCAAGGATCGAAGACGACGCACGAGGCCCTCCGAGGACCTCAGGAAGCCGCCGAGGACGTCGGCGACGATGGCGACGGCGGCGACTTCGGCGACGAAAACGGAAACTGCCAGGTCGACAACGGTCACGAGGACTACGACGACGACGGCGACGAGGTTTCTTGGGGCTTCCGCAGATTTTATCCTCCTTCGCCCTGGGAGGTGCCCAGTGCGATTACGCTTGCTGCGTCGACTTCGATGGCGAGGGCGACGGTGACGATACCGGTGGCGACGGCAATGACTACGACGGTGACGGCTACGATGACTGTCGGCTACGTCGGCGGCAACGGCTACAATGGCGCCGAGGGTTGCGTCGGCGGCGGCGGCATTGACAAAATACGCCGCCGACGACGGCAGGGACGAGGACGGATATGACCACCACGACAACGACGATTACCACCACAATGATGACCACGGCTTCTACCGCGGACGCGCCTACGACGACGGCGGTGGTGTTGGCGACGACAGCCACGACGATGGCCACGGCGACCACGGCCACGTTGTTGGCGACGGCTACGACGGCCGCGACGACGGCCGCGAAGACGACGAAGACGACGACATCAGCGCGCGCGCGCGCCCGCGCCTCAGGAGGTGGGGACCGTCCGTCTCCGCGCCGTCGCTCAGCGCCGCGACGCCACGAGAGGCGTACCAGCGCGCGCGCCGCGCGCGCTGCACGCATGCCGCGTCGGACGGCCCGCCGCCGTCGCCGTCGCCGCCGTCTGTGCCGACCTGCACGCATGCCGCGTCGTCCGTCCTCGTCCGTTTCCTCATATACACGTCCTCCTTATCAGCTCCCAGTCTTTCATCTTTGTTCGTTTTTCATGTCTCCCCCTCCTCTCCTCCTCCTGCTCCTCCTCCTCCCTATCACTTGCTCGTCCCCGCTCCGACTCCTCGTCGGCGTCGTGGTCCTCCTCATCTTCTTCCTCCTTCCCCCAAGACATCGGACATTCGAGCCCACAGGCCTCCGATAGCCTTCGAGCACCCTCTGTTTTCCTCCTCTGCCCCTTCCTCCTGGAGGATCCAAGAGAGGCTTGCGCCAGAGGGGGCTTTGGCCACACCTCCGCCGCCCCCTTGCATGCTGAAGCTCGCTATCTTTCCAGGGCCCCCAGCGCCACCGCTGTGAGGAACGGGGCGGAGGCGTGCCCCTCGTCGTCGTCGATGCTGCTGTCGTGGGCCTCGCCGTCCAACATCAGGCCTGGGCGCCGCAGTCCTGCCTTACAGTCCTTCTTTAGGTGCACATCCCCACATCCTCCTCCTCCTCCTCCTCCTCCTCCTCCTCCTCCTCCTCCTCCTCCTCCTCCTCCTCCTCCTTCCCTCCTCCTCCTCCTCCTCCTCCTCCTCCTTCCTCCTCCTCCTCCTCCTTTTCCTCCTCAACGTCCTCCTTCTCCTCATCCTCATCCTCATCCTTATCCTCCTCCTCCTCCTGCTCATCCCCCTCCTCAGTGTCCTCAGTGTCCTAACAAAACGTAGTCCAGCAAAACCAGCCGGACTAGCTTAACCTACTGCCGAGCAGGACCGACCACGAAGTAGGAAGCCTATGCCTCCTCGACCTCGGGTCCCGACGAATTCCCCCCCTCGTCGGGCCCTTCGTTGGGCCCTCGGCCGAACGGGGCTCCGAAGAGGGGGAAAGGGAGCCCCCAGAACCTGTTGGACTGGGGCTCCCGTCCAGACCTCAGTCGTCCCAACGCCGTTCTAGCCAGACGGGCCGCCGACCGAGGACGGGAGGTGAAGGGACGGCAGGGACGACAGAGGTCGTGGACCTGTCTTCTGGCATAGGCCCCGCAGACTCTACAGAAGACGATCAGCCCCCTCCCATTAGCCTCGTCGCCAGACCCCCGACCCCGATCCCCACGCACAACCCAGAGCTTATGGGAGGGGTGGGCGATCGCCGCGGGCCGAGGCATTCCTGGGCAGGGAGTCGAAACGATCCTAGATCGGAGCCCCTTCCGAACCCCGCAGATTTTACACCCCCAGGCCCGTCCAAACCTCAAAAGCGAGTGCCCGCACTCGCCCGAAACAAGGACGACCGAATTGCGGGACGGCCTGGGGCGGGGGAGGGGGCTCCGATCGGGCCAGCCTTGGCCCGCTATCATTTTCAAGACTGCGCCGTGATGGACGGCGATAGACTCCGCGGCACATGTGGCCGCTCTCACCATGCTCGCCCTCGCCATCACGGCGTCGAAAGAAGGGTGCAGCTTGGCGCCTTCCTTGGCCTTGCTGTCCGCGCACTTGTTGCCGCGGTGCCAGGCCCAGGGCGTGTCTGCCAGCGCTGCCGCGGCCCAGCTGGTGTGGGCTCGGACCCACTGTAGGCTGAATGCCTCGGGCCCCAAGTCACTGATGTGCCTCCAGGCCTCCCTCCACAGGTCGGCGTTGAGCGACTCTGGGCCCAGGCACCAGTCCTCTCCTCTCTCGAAGTCCCCCACCAGCCGCAGGTAGTCCGTGACCACGTCCAGCTGGGGGCCCTTCTCCCTGAGCACCCGCACCAGCGCGTAGAGCTCGGCGTAACCGCTCTCCTGGACGGGCCCTGGGACACACCCGAACATCCCGCCCGTGATGGTGCCGTCGGCCTCCACCATGATGCAGGACCACCCGCTCCTGGCGAGCTCCCTGACCTCTGGGGCCATCGCCGAGCCGTCGATGCAGACGGTGCCGCAGGCTAGCCCCCCGATGAGGGCTCCTCCTCGGCGGCAGACCTCCTGCTCCGCAGGCCTCGGGGCCCTCTCCAGACCGAGGCTGACCAGGCACCTGACTAGCCCGATGTCGCCGTCTGGGGCTGCTGCGCCTGCTCTCCTGACCTGCTCCAAGTCCATGGCCGCCGCGACGCCTCTGGTGCCGTCGCATCCGAACAGGCGGTGCTTCTGCGTCCCTGGCTCCGCGCCGCACAGCCTGCACACGGGGCTAAGCACCGCCCGTTCGCGATACAGGTCAGCTTCCGTCGCCAGGCCGCCGCAAACCAGCGCCTCGAACAGCGCCACCTGCTCGCTGTCACCTTGCCTGCGCAGCGCCGCGACCGCCTGCTGGGTGACCTGGATGGTCGGCGGCCCGCCGAGCGCTCCTCCCAGGTGCTCGCTGTGCAGTCTCATCATCAGCGAGCGCTGGATCCCCGCCTCGATGAACTGCCTCATCCTCCTGGGGCTGTAGACCTTCAGGTCGAGCTGCTCCCCTGCGTCCGTGACCCAGCATCGCCAGCCAGACGCAGCGGCTGGTTCCCACCCTATCCTGCGGAGGGTGAGTTTGACTGCGTCGGCTGGCCCTCGCACCTGGCCCCAGGACTCTGGCTGCGCCGCGCTGAAGGCCTTCTCGAGGCTCCCGTTGCTGCGCAGGCCGAGGTAGACCGCCTTGGCCCACGCCTCCAGAGGTAGGCTGTTGGCCGCGAAGACGGGGTCCGCCTTCCAGCCCTGGTCTGGCTGCAGTGCGAACTGCAGCGTTCTGCTCTTGCTGCCCACGGCCCCCGCCAACGCCTGGCCGTTGACCGCCCTGGCCCTCTCGAGCATCGCCGTCGGAACGCCGACGACCCGAGCTCCGTGGAGGACCGAGGCCAGTCCGCCACTCCTGAAGATCCTGCCCAGCTTGACGCCTGCCCTCCTGAGCGCCATGTGCCGTGACGAGCGGACGGCCAGCCTGGCCATGCGGCTCCTCAGCACCGACCACGACGCCCTGGGCTTCATGCCGAAGTCGACGCCCAGGTTCTTGACCGCCCGCCGCAGCCTGAAGTCCCAGCGCCGCAGGCGGTGGGCCGCGCGCCGTCCTGCACTCTCGTCGCTGCTCACGATGTTGCCCTTCGTCAGGGACACCTTGAGCCCCAGCGCCTCTAGCCTCTGGCAGAGGTCTCTGGTCGCGCCGAAGGCCGTGAACTCCACATCCCTGAGCTTCCCGCAGACGGCCAGCGTGATGTCGTCGACGACCACGTAGGCCCGCAGCGACATCCACTGGGCCACGACCGCGTCCATCGCGGCGAGGAGCACGACCCCCAGGAGCGTCGTGGCGTACCCGCAGCCCGCCACGATCGGGCTCCCAACCCTGATCGCGTCCGTCTTCCAGCGGCTGAGGCTGAGCCCCCTCGGGCCGCCGTAGCTGCGGAGGACCAGCTTCAGCCTGCGCAGCCTGAAGCCGTGGCGGCGAGCAGCAGCGACCAGCCCCTCGTGAGTGACCCGCTCGTAGGCCTTCGAGAGGTCCGTCATGGTCGACATGGAGTGCTGCTCCATCGCCGCCGCCACGCTGGCATCGTGGGCCTGGAGCCAGACCGCGTCCTCGCAAGACTTCCCCGCCCCTCCGAAGAAGTAGTCCCGCCTGTGCGCCGACTCCCACTCGACCGCGTCGATCCTGCGCAGCCTCCCCAGCAACCGCATGAGACTGCAGAGGAGCCCAATCGGCCTCCAGCCTCCGTCGGGCTTCGCCAGGAAGAAAACCAGCAGGGTGTTTACCTGCTCGGGCATTCGGCAAGATGCCTCCAGAACGAGCAGCAGCAGCCCGAGCGCTTCCAGTCCTCCGTCGCTGAGGTGGCCGAAAGCTTGGGGCTTGATGGCGTCCACCCCAAGGGCCGTGGACGGCTTGAAGGACCGCGCCGCCTTGCGGATCTCCGCTGCCGTAGGCGCCTGCCCTAGCCCCTCCAGGTGAGCCTCTGGCAGCGCCGCGTCAAGGTCCATCGGCTGGATCTCGCCGTGCTGCCAGATGCCCTGGTACTCCTCCAGCAGACTGTCGAGGGTGGCCGCTATTCCTGCAGGCCCGTTGTCGCCGTCCAGGTCGGCTGTCCAGCCCTGCGGCGCTCGGCAGAAGGCGCGGGCGGCCCCTCCGCCGTCTCGCACAGCCTCCCTGGCCCAGGCGCGCCAGCGCAGGTCTCGGCCTTTCGCACAGCCAGCCTCAAGCCGACCTGCGATCTCCCTGGCCTCGGCCTCGAGCTCCTCGACCTCCTCGAAAGTGAGCTCCCACATCCTCCGAAGCCGCCTCCTCCACCTGGCAGCCTCAGGCGGGCTGAGGGCATCGCCTCTCGCGTGCACCGACGAGGCCAGCTTGCTGCCCATCTTGGCGTGGATGGCCTTGAGCTGCTGGCAAGCCGCTGCCCTGGCGCTCGGCAGGTGCAGCCGCTTCCTCGTGACCAGCTCCTCCCAGAGCACCGCGCCGACCCTTCGCCAGTGGGCCGCCTCGGGGGACCCGCGCGCGTGGGGGCCACTGCAGGGCAGGAGCACCTCCTGCTTGACAAACCGTGGCTTGGCCTCTCGGCCCGTGTATGTGTCCGCCTCCTGGGTCCCGATGTGGTAGCACCCCAGTAGGTCGGACTCCATCAACTTGGCGAACTCCCCGTAGAGGTCGTTCACCGACTCTTGCGGCAAGCTGCCCCCCACAACATCTTCGGGGAACGTCGGGTACCCAGCCTCCTCCTCGTGGCTGGTTCCTCCCCTCGGCGAACCTTCCAGCCCATGGACTGCAGGACTGGGGCCGCGAGGCCCTCGCGTCAGAGAGACCGCGTCACCCCTCTCTACCACCGTGGGAGAGCTCGCCGCAGGCTGCTCGCTGACCCCGCTAGGGTCGCTTGGAGTCTCCCCCTCACCCATCCCTTCGGTCGCACTGGGGGTGAGAGGGGCTGGGCCGAGAAGTAGGCTGAAGGTGTCGGCCCACTCCGCGCCCGCGTCCTGGCGGCAGCGGCCCAGCACGCCGTCGTCGACCGCCGTCACGAAAGCCTCGGCGCCCAGGACCGGTCCCTCTTCCTGCTGGGCGGCCGGCGGCCGATCCTCTCGGCCCGCCGCTGCGCTTTCCTCAGGGTCAGGGCCCGCCGCTGCCAGCGCCGCCGTCGCCTCGGGCTGAGGCCAGCCCAGCTGCTCGAGCACCCTGCGCAGGCGTGCGACTAGCGGGCCCCAGTCGGGGGGCCTGGGTCGCGGCCCCACTGGCCGCTCGGCTGGGAACGCGCGCGGCCATTTGAGGACAGGCCGCCGCTCGGGTGCGCCACGCCGCCCCAGCTCCAGGCGGACGGGCCAGTGGGGCGCGAGAGTCTCGTCGAGCCGCCTGCATCCCCTGACCAGCTCCCCCAGCTCGCTGGGGACGACGAACCAGTCCAGCTCGTTGCCGCCCCCGCTGCGGCAGGTGGCGACGCCTGGCGTGACCGTCATCCCGCCGACCGCCTGCAGCCATCCCCACTCCTGGAGCTCGCGCGGCTTGCAGTTCCAGTCGCCGCCAATCACGAACGGCACGGCCGTGCTGGCCAGGTAGCGCCCCAGCTGGCTGAGGACGAGCTTCGACTCGCCGTCGAGGCCCCTGCCCGTCACCAGGTAGACCGAGACCGCCAGGAAACCTCCTCTGACGGCGCACTTGACCCAGCGGGCGATTACCCGATCCTTCGGGAGGACGGGCCCCACGGGCGGGTCGCTCATCCCGATGTGGGCGCGGACGCCTATCCCGACACCGCTGGACAGGCCGCCCTTGTCGGTGACCACCGACGCGTTGAAGGCCACCTTCCAGCCCTCCTTGCGGCAAGCCTGCTCGGCCTCCGCCTTCGCGCCTGGCGCCGCTGCGACCTCTTGCAGGAAGACTGCGTCGGCGGTAGCCTCATGATGCAGCCATCTCATCATGCTGCTCCTGGAGGTGGTGTTGGCCGTGTCCAACCTCCAGGTTCCTCCTTCACGCCTCGCTCGCTGAAGCCTCCGCTGGGCCTCGCCCGACGTCGGCAGCGGCGGCTGGCCGCTCGACGGCCGCTCCACCGCCTCCCTTGGGCTTCTTGGTGGTCGGGAGGGCGAGGCCCGCTGCTTGGCAGACCTCTTCGAGCTTGCGGCGGCCTTCGCCCTCCAGCCTGGCCAGCTGCTCGAAGAAGGCCTCGCCCTCGGCGTCGACCCTGCTGCCCCCGCCGCCATCGCCTGAAGCAGCAGGACCAGCATCGCCAGCAGGGACCCCAGCGGGTGCCTTCGCCATCTCGAAGTCGTCAGCGGGAGGCGGGGCCTGCTCGGCGTCGACCTCTTGCCGCAGGACAGCTGCCTTGGCTTCGAGGGCGGCCTTGGCCTGCTGGATGGCCTCGCCGACTGCCCCGTCCTGCTCCCGCAGCACGCTCGCGAGGGCGCGGACCCCCTCCAGAGCGCTGGCGAGCTCGCCTGCCTTGGACGACTTGGTCCCAGGCGGAAGGCCGACCTCCTGGACCTTCTTGGCCTGCTCCATCTCCTCCTGGGCGGCTGCCAGCTTCCTGTCCGCTTCGGCCACCTTCCGCTTGGCCAGCTCCAGCTCCTCCTGGGCAGCTCTGACGGCCTCCTCAGCGGCCTCCTGCTCGCCCCTCCTGGACTTGGCCTGCTTGCCGAGCCGCTCCACCTTCCAGAGGAGCCCCTGCAGCACTTGGGAGTGCGTGCGCGGCTTCTCCTCCTTTGGGGCCTCCTCAGGCGGCTTGGGCAGCAGCTTGGCCCTGTCCGCGTCCAAGAGGACCACACCGCACGCCTCGAGCTGGGCCAGCAGGTCCTCCGCGCTCGGCTGCTGGACCTTCGCCCCCTGGGCGCCTCCGCCAGCGCTGCCGGCGAGCGGCCCTGCGCCGCTCTCCTCCTTCTTGGCCTTGGCCTTGGGCGCGGCCTTCGGCGCCGCCTCCCGTGCGCCCGCAGCTGGAGGCGCACCAGCCGCGGCCTCCACTGCGCGCTGGCGCACCGACAGCGGGGCCGCCACCCCGCACCCGCGGCAGGCCAGGCGGCAGGCCCACTTGCCGTCGGCGCCGCAGCGGCCGCAGCCCCAGGTGGGCTTCCGCGGGCCAGGCAGGACCTTGTCGCCCCCTGAGCCCGCGCCGCCCGCGCCGCCGCGCCAGGGCACGCCGTTGCCTCCGCCGCCGTCGGCCCACGTAACGCGCCGCGGCGCGAGTGGGGGCCGCGGCCCGGCGGAGCCAGCCATGGAAGCCAAGAAGGTTGCGGAAAGCGAAGAATGGTGCCCCTCTCTTCTGTATGGGAATCAATCGTAGCCCGCGCTCGTGCGTGCACGGCGCTCTGAAGTATGCACGCACAAGACCCCCCCTCTCGGAGAGCCCAGAACGCCTCTCATCCCCCTCCTCCTCCTCCTCCTCCTCCTCCTCCTCCTCCTCCTCCTCCTCCTCCTCCTCCTCCACTGCCGCCGGCGATCTCAGGGCCAGCACGGCAGCGCCGTCGTCGTCGCTTCCGCCGCCGCCGCCGCCAGCCTCGCCGTCCACAACTGGCCCCTCTGACAGCTCCCGCGGCCCTCTCCGAGCAGGAGCCCGAGGCGGACCCGGCCCGTGCCGACGAGGGGCCTCCACTCGGGGGAGAAAAAGATACGGATACGTGTTGTCCCCCTTCGTTTTCGGCCTTTCCTGGTCCTCTTGGGGAATCCTCGTTGCCACCGCTGGATTCGCCTCGAAATTCTGGTCAGAACGCACCCCAAGAGAGGTCCGGGGACAACACGTATCCGTATCTTTCCGCCCCCCAATCCACGAGGCTTCAACGTGACGAACGCCGCCAGCGTCCATCGCCTTCCTCCTCTCTTCGCCGCCGCCGCGCCGCCGCCGGCGGCGCCCGCGGCGCCACTTCCGCCTCCGCCCGATGCCGCCGCCGCCGCCGCAGTTTCCGCTGCCGTCGCCGCCGCCACCGCTGCCGCTCCGACGGCACCCAGACGAAGCTGCCGCGCGCGCCCGCAGGCGGATCCTGCGGTGGCTGGCGCCACCTGCAGGGGGAACCGGACCACCGCTGCCCTCCTGGCGCATCGCTGCCCCCCGTCGCTACTGCCGCTGCCGTCGGCGACGTCAGCACCGCACCAGCGCCGCCGTTTCCCCTGTGCCTCCTTCTCTTCGAGGCAATGTTTTATCTTCTGGCGGCTTCGGGCGTGAATTGGTGAGGGCGGGAGGACTGGAGGGGGCCAGTGACGTGATGATTCGCGCCGGCGCCTCCTGGAATGTCCAGGGATTTCGTATTCCAGGACAGCGCTGGCACGAATCGTGACGTGACCAGGAGGGGAGGGGGGTATGGCGGGGCTGGTCACGGGAACTATCAAACATGTCTCTTCGGCGCCCCCTTGCTCCCTCTCTGCGCATCGCCGTTCTTCCTCCTCGCGGTATAGCCAGGACCCCGGTTAAGGGGAGCCGGTTAGTGATTGGGCCCCGACGCCCAACATATGGATTGGAATCAGTTAAACCAGGTCTGCTGTAGCTGATGCTTTTCGGGTGACGGTAATTCCGGTTAGTGGAATGGGACGGGGGGGGCGTCACCGGTACAGATCACTAAGCCAGGCCCCACTAAACCCAGACCTGCCATCGCCCGATTCTCTTCCTCCTCCACCTGCTCGTCCTCCTCTTTCCCATGCACACTGTCTCCTAATGTCCAACTCGTCCTTGTCGCACCAGCAGGCGTGTCGGTAGGGGGTCTTCTGGGTCGTTTCGCTTGCTCCTCCGAAGCGTGATTCATCTGACAGGTGAACAGATGGATGGTGACTGGTTCTCCCGCCATAGTGCCGTGCACCCTCGCCCGAATAGTATTCCTCAACAGTCACGCGGGTCGAGGGTGGGTGGTTTTCAACAGGTGGCTCCTCGCTTGACGTGGCGCCACGTGCGTTCGTCCGAACATCAGCCGCGTCCAGAGGGGGTGGGGAGAGGGGGGAAAGCTTTTTTGAAGGAGGCCAGTTCTTAGGAGGAGCGGGCCTTGTCTATAGATGTAGGTCCAGCACCTTCTAAGAAGCAGCCTCTTTTTCAGAAGCATTGCCCCTCCTCCCCCATAACCCCTTTATGCGCGCCGCCAGTAAAAGATTGCAATTGCTCCCTGCGTCGTCGTCGTCGTCGTCGTCGCCGCCGTCGTCGTGGCCGCATTTGTATTTGCCGCCGTTGTCCCGTCGCTGGCCGTCGCCCCACCGCCCCTCCAGACCCGCGAGGATAACCATGGCGGACCCGTCGGCCCTCGACTGCGCGGCGAGCCGGGAGGCACGGCCTGACGACGATGGCGGCGGCGACAGGGAGGTGGGAAAGAGGACGATTGGAGGGGGGAGGAGGATGAGCAGGAGGATTAGGAGGAGGAGGGCTTACTGTATGCGGGGTAGGGAGGACGGGATGGGGGAAAATGGATGTGGAGGCGGAGGCGGAGGAGAATGAGGAGGAGCAGGAGGAGGTGGACGAGGAGGAGAAGGAATACAAGAAGGAGGAGTGGGAAGGGGAAGAGGAGATGGTCTTCTCCTCCTCCTCCTCCTCCTCCTCCTCCTCCTCGTCCTCCTCCTCCTCCTCCTCCTCCTCCCTACTCACTCCTCACTCTGCACTCCTCGCTACTCACTCCTCACTCCACCTCCCTCCTCCCCACTCTTCGTCACTCCTCACTCCTCACTCCTCCTGCTCCTCCTCCTCCTCCTCCTCACTCCTCACTCCTCGCTTCTCCTGCTCCCCTCCTCCTCCTCCTCCGCCTCCTCCTCCTCCTCCTCCTCCTCCTCCTCCTCCTCCAGCCGTTCTTGCACAGGCAGGTGACCCTGTGCTTGCACGCGCGTACTTCAGAACGGCTCGCGCGTGCGAGCCAAGGGCTTTCTTTCTCTCCTCAGAGGACAGCGGGGAGGCCCGCGGCGGATGGCTAAGGCGTGGCCATGCGGCAACTGCGCCAGGATCCATGGAGTGGCGTTCGAGAACTACGGGTTCAGGACGTCCTGCTACAAGTGCGGCAAGCAGGCCCCGCGTCATGTGTTGGAGACCAAGAAGGAGTGGAACAGCTGGCCCTGGAGGAAGGGCAGCGGAGGTACCAAGCGAGAGAGGCCAAACCGCTGGGCTGCTGGCCCGCCATTCCTTTGGCGGGGCTCGCAACTCCAGGGGAAGCCACCTCCGACTCGTCCCGACGCTGCTCCCGTCGGGGATGCCAAGATCGTCGAGAGCGACCCCGCCACTGCCGCAACCATGTTGCAGAGCATGGCCAAGGCGCACGGCGAGGACAGAGCGAACTGGCCCGAGGGAATCAAGGGCTTGGTGGTCATCTGGGACAAGGCGGTGCAGCAGTCCGAGGCAAAGGACGAGGAGGCGCCCCAGCAGCCCGACTACGCCAACATGTCATCCTTCCAGTTTGGCCAGCGCCTGCAGGGCGTCAACCAGAAGCTTGAGAAGGCCAAGGAGCGCCTGCAAGAGCGCAGCCAGGAGCTGCAGGACGCTATTGCAGCTCGAGATGCAGAACAGGAGATCGTCCGCAACCACGAGAACAGGAAGCAGAAGGTCAAAGCAGCTCAGGCTGCGGCTTTCATGCGTGAAGCCGCCGAGGGAGGACACGCAGAAGCTGGACATCCCGCTGTCGCCCTGTGTGGGCAGGTGGCCAGTCTGCAGAAGCGCCTGGGCAACACTGACCTCCCCGAGGAGCTGGATGAGCCCTTCAAAGCTTTGCAGCAGGCGCTCGAGTCTCTCGAGAAGCAGCTGGCGGACCGTGAGCAGCAGCAGCAGAAGGAGCAGACGGCGGCTGAACATGCTGGGCGCACCGCTGATGCTGATGGTGACGTACCTATGGCTGCTGATGTCCCCGTGCCAGATGAGGACGACCTCGAAGATGTCTTCAGTCAGGTCGGCCTCAAGCTGGAAGGGAATGAGTCGGACGAGGCGCGGCAGAGGATCAAGGCTGCCCGCGCCCGCATGCTCGAGTCCATGGCTGCCGCCAACGCTGCCGTCATGGCCAAGAGGAGGAAAACGCAGCCCCGCTTCTGGACAAGACTCAGCTGAGAAGAAGTGATCTGTCTGGAAATGTACATGGAGACTGGGGGCTACTACTGCAAGAACTACGACAATTACACCGTTCGGTGGATTGGGCTTTGGAGGGCATTGAGCAGCCGGCACGACAGCCACGCGATACAGTGGGCGGCAGCGGAAGGCTTGGGATGGATTCCGCTAGGCAGTTTCACGATGCAGTGGAACAGTTATTGCACCGGTGCAGGCGCTCGGGATTGGGATCTGGTTCAGTTACCAGTGGTTGTGCTGAACCCTCTGGTCTGGCTGCCGACGGGCAGGTGGTCGACGCCCAGACTGGAGGCGGTCCGCCCTGTGGGTCTTCCGACGGGAAGCTCGCCCCCACAGGGGAGTGCAGAGGAAGCACCACGCGCGCGCGACGGGTACTTTCTTGCGGTGGTGCTGAACCCTCTGGCCTGGCTGCCGACGGGCAGGTGGTCGACGCCCAGGCTGGAGGCGATCCGCCCTGTGGGCCCACCGACGGGTGGTCAGCCCCCCCAGGGGAGTGCAGTGGAGGCACCGCCGCGCATGCGCAACGAGAGCAACGGCTTCAGGACGGAGACGTGCGACACGAACGGGAGTGGACATTTGTCACGGTGAACATCACAGCTGCGCAAAAAGAAGCGGTGAAGATGACGTCGGTGGCCGCGGAGATCACGGACATGCACCCCAATACGGATGGCATTCTGTTTCAAGAGCACAAGTTTCTCAAGCCATGCGTAGGTGATGCGCGACTCAGGCTTCAACATCAAGGCTGGAACTGCCATATGCCACCAGCGCGACAAGGTGAAGGGCGCGCGGCCAGTTCTGGAGTGGCAGTTGGAATACGCCAAGATATTGCATCAGCTATACCGCCAGACCTTGGAGGCGTGACAGTGCCACAGTGGCGATGGGCCACGCAGTGGGTCGATGGTATGCTGCCTGGCGGTTTCATACTTGGTTCTACGTGTTTGATTTCGGACACAAAGTAAGAGAAAACGAAGATGCAAACAAACTATTGGTTCTACTGGTCCTGGAGCAACTTCAGAGATTGGGACGCTCCTTCATCATCGGAGGTGGTTGGAACATGACACCAGAGGAGCTTAATGACTTGAATATCTTACGACAGGTACCTGCGATGATAGTGGCACCTACACAATGGACATGTGCATGTGGCGAAGGCAGGATCCTTGATTACTTCGTTGTCAGTAACCATTTCAAGGGTCTCATCACAAGTGTCAGCAGGATTGAGGGGCTCTCGATTGCCACACACTGGGGAGTACAGCTGAAACTGCGAGTTGGACCAGGAGCAGCCTGGGAGCAGCAGCTGAAGATTCCAAAGAAGTTCCCGAAGATAGGCCCGATGGGAGCAGCTCCGGCCCCGCCTTCGTGCCAGCGCGTGCTTTCTGAGTGCGATTACGTGCAAGACAAAGAAGATGTACACTGGTGTTTTGCTCAATGGTACCGCTTGGTAGATCAAGAGCTTGCCCAGCGGTTTCAACTGGAAGATCGGCACGGCAAAGCATGTCAAGGACGGGCGCAGACATCATCGCCAGTGTACAAGTTAGTGGCTTCGGTACGCAAGGCGCCAGGGAGGTCACCACAGGGTAACCCGACATCAAGAATTTGGCGGAGGGCCGCTATGGTCACGGTGGATTTGTTGCATGCTCGCAAACGCAATTGGACACGAGACTGCAAGCTCATTGATGTCGGGCTCAACACGATGAGAAATCTACAGAACAAGAAAATCGACAGGGGTGAGCAACGGGGCATCTGGTGCTACCGATACGAGCACGAGGGGGAATGGTCGCGACATGCTAGTTAGAGTGCGGCCCAAGAGGCTACTCGTATCGAGGTGAAGTTCGCGAATGACAGGGTCAAGCAGTGGCGGAAGCTCATAGCTGATGCCGTCGAGAAAAGCGAAAAGCAGGCGCACAGATGGTCCAAGCTACCCACCATGTGGACGCAGGCGGACATTCACCCAACGGCAGGCGTGTAGTCGCATGCTGCACGACTTCAGGCAGACTTGGAAGAGTGGAAGCGTGTTTGGACAGGTTTACAGTTGCAGTTTTGGTACAGGTTTACAGTTGCACACTTCGGATCAAGACGTGAAGACTCTAGACATAGACCACACGCGGAAAGTTGCTTCTACTTTCCAGGCAAGCACGCCATCAGGCATAGACAACCTCGGCCCGAGGAATGTCGCCCTCCTCTCCGATAGCGCACTCTCAAGTTTCGCAACCATCATGCAGAAGGCAGAGATCATCGGGGAATTGCCACCTCAGCTGACCAACAACGTCATGCCCAGGTTGCCGAAACCAGAAGGTGGACATCGTCTGATTGGGCTGCTACCTGGTCTTTTACGAGTCCACAACAGATGCCACACGCAGGACCAGCAGGATTGGCTCAACAACAATGTGAAGAGTTACCACTATGCGGTGGCAGGGCGTTGCTCAGAGCCGGCGGTGTGGACACAATCGCTACTTGCAGAGGCTGGGCTAGCTCTCAAGCGACATACGGCTACTGTCATGCTCGACTTGAAGAAAGCTTCCGAAAAAAATCCGCATGCGACGTTATGGGCAGCGGGGTGGCATGGATTCAAGCGGTCACGGCTAGCGCTACTTTTCAAATCGTATGCAGGAGGACGTATGATACGGTATGGTAACATGTCTTCAAATATGGCGAAGACCAATCATGGCGTGATCGCCGGCTGTGCCTTTGCCACCACAATGAGATGTTGTTCACGCTGGGTGCTTACGAGCAGGTCTGCACACTGTGGCCCTCGCTTAGTCTTACACAGGTGGTGGATGATGGAAGCCTGCAGGCTACTGGAACGCACGAGCAAGTACTACAGGTCATCATACCAGCGGCGCGACGACTGTGCAAGGAGTTGGTCAACCTTGGACTTGTGCTCAGCCCGAACAAAGGACACGTCATCGCCACCAGCACCCAGTTCGAGAAGCAGATAGAGGTTGCGCTTAAGCAGCACAAGTTCAAGAGGCACCGAACTGTCAGACAGCTTGGGCATGATCGTACACTACGAAGAGGAGCTGGTGGAGCGGTGCAGCAAGCTAGAGTCACGGCTATGCCCCGAAGGATTTCGAGATACCGACGGCTGGCACTAGGTGGAAGGTTGATGGGACGATTATTTCGTGGAGGAGGCCTGGCATCGGTAATTTACTATGTGAAGGTGAAGGGTATGTCTGATACGCAGCTGAAGCAACTGCGAGCCATTGCAGGCCATGCCTTATTTGGTACGGCGCGAGGACGGTGCAGGACCATGGAGTTTCAGTTGTCGCACTGTCCCAGAGCAGACCCCACGTTCGCTGCGGATGAGCATCCACTGGTATACTGGCTCAGGGCGCTGCATGGGGAATGGGTCAAACACAGGGCCATGGCTTCGGCGTTCATGCAAGCGCAGAATCAGCTGAGGACGTTGAGAGGGGTACGAGGGCCTGCTGGAGCAGGGGTAATGACTTTCAAACGGCTCAATTGGACGACGACTTCGTGGGACTGTTGGATAACCGAGCGTGGTGCCAAGTTGAATCTACATGACATAGGACCTGCTGCGCTGAGACGCATCGTGGATCAGGCCACTCAACGACGACTTCTACGAGAAGTGCAACAGCCTCGAGGCATGGAAGTCCTAGCTGGGCCCCCACTGCTGGAGCCAGCAAAGGAGTTCATCAGCATGCTGCGGCAACAAGAGGACTACAACGGTGCTGGACTAATACGGACATGGTTGGCTGGTGGGTTCTACTGTCAAGAGCGGCTACACCAGGTACGAGCAGCACATGGCCCACTCTGTGCCATGTGTGGTGTGGAAGCTGGCACCGATACCCACCGCATTTTCAGGTGTGACTGGCGCGCGCTGGGGCGATACAGTTGGACTGGTGAGAAGCGTGCTCTACTGACGTGGGGGCGTGCAGAGCATGGGCAAGGGCATCCCACCACGATGATGACTACCAAAGGGCTCATGCCAGGTCCGACTTTCTATGCGCCGTTGCCGACCTTCGCTGACATTATCAATTGGCACAAGTGTACGGTCAGTGGGCTAATCAGCGGTGTGGTGTGCACAGATGGCAGCTGTATATTCCCCCAGTGAGGTTCGAGCTAGGGCGGGGTGGGCGTTTGTGATGATTGATGAGGCAGGAGCTACAGTGGCGGCTGCATCTGGACCAGTACCTTATCCATGGCAGGCATCTGGAGCAGGCGAGATCTGGGCGGCCACCAAAGCTTTGAAACACAAGTCAGCTGGGCACATCACGATTGTAACCGACTACGAAGTTCTCAAGAATGGATGGGCACATGGTTATCCGTATGGGTGCAATGTTGGCCATCAGTACATGAAACTATGGAAAGATTTCTGGCAAGTCGAATTAGACATTGGTGTTGCAGAGATTGGTGTTGTCTGGGTTCCTTCGCACATGTCAAGAACCAGGGCCATCGACCAAGGAGTCTGCTTGCCCTACTGGACAGGTAACAAGAGCGCAGATTATTTTGCAAGGCTGGGCGCCGACTGCCATCCCCGCGAGAAGTCCAATGAGAAGTTGCGGAAGATGCGCGAGGCGGCTGCACCTTTGACTTTGAAATGTGTGCTGCGCAGTCTGCGGCTGTGTCAAAAAGGCGGCTGGAAGGACGTCCAGCAAGTGAGTGAAGGAAGACCCGCGCGCGGGCCTCATGTCGTCCTAAGCGACGATGCAGGCCATGTAATTCACAGGTTTAAGGGACGATGGGTGTGCGGGAGGTGCGGAGATAGTCGTGCTCGTCGTGGAGACCTCGCGCGCCTTCCGTGTCTTGGGGAGCCCAAAGGGGTCCGAGAAACGCACCCGTCCCATAAGCTATGGCGCACTGGTCCAATGGTTTGGTGTTTTGAATGCGCCGCCAGATGTGTGTCTAGGGCGTTTTTGATTTCCAAACCGTGTTTGGGGAGACCGCCCCTGGGGTCTGCGAGGCATTCCAAGAGAACGTACCTCATCCAGGGGCGGGGCCCTTCAGGAGAGAAAGTCAGTAATGGTTTCAAGAGGCCTGTTCCTATTTTCGCTAGAGTCGTCCGTTGAGCGTTCGACGGGATTATGAGTATTGCTTTTTGGCCTGGTGCATCGTTCTCGGCACACCTCGTCGTCACCCAGAGTCTGCAGAGCCTCCTCCTCCTCCTCCTCCTCCTCCTCCTCCTCCTCCTCCTCCTCCTCCCCCTCCTCCCCCTCCACCAAAAACATGCGTGTCCCGCTGCCCGCACTCTGTGATCGTGGGCAGGCGCACACCCCCGCTCCCCCCCGCTCGCTCCTTCTTCCCTTCGACTCCTTCCTCCCCTCGGGGCCTGCCCGGGCTCTCCCCCCATCCTGCGGCACCGCCTCCTCCTCCCCCTCCTCCTTCTCCTCCTCCCCTTCCTTCCCCTCCTCCTCCTCCTCCTCCTCCTCCTTCTCCTCCTCCTCCTCCTCCTCCTCCTCCTCCTCCTCCTCCTCCTCCTCCTCCTCCTCCTCCTCATCCGCTCAATGGTGGGCGACCTGTAGTAGCCCTGGCCTGGCCCCCTGGCCTGGCCACGTACCTCATGGGGGAAGGGGGGGGGACGGGGGAGCGAGGGGGTCGAGGAGGAGAGGAGGACGAGGAGGAGTAGGGTAGGGGAGGGCGAGGAGCAGAGGAGGAGGAAGGGAATGACAGGCGGAGGGCAGGAGGGGCAAGAGAGGTGGACGCCCGCTGAAATCCCTCTGGGGCGCCGTCGGGGGTGCCACCCGCCACCCATGCTGCGCTGACTCGCAGGCCTCCGGGGCAGTTGGCGCTCGCACGGGGGCTGGACCTGCCCCGAGGCCCTTCCCCCCCTGCAGCACGCAGTCCAAACACGCAGCCCTCTCCATACTCCATGTCGGAATGCTCGCGCGGAGGCGCCCGCCGCCCCCCTCCGCCGGGGGCCTCGGGCTCGGGAGGAGGAGGAGGGGGAGGAGGAGGAGGAGGAGGAGGAGGACGAGGCTCCTCCTCCTCCTCCTCCTCCTCCTCCTCCTCCTCCTTCTCCTCCAGGTCCTCTTGCCCCAGCCCCCCTGCACTGTGGGGGGTCCAACAGCGACACGTCGATTAGTGAATTGTCCGTTTTCGGTTCTCGAGCGGGCGCCGCGGCCGTCATTTTCCAGGCTTGCGCCCGCCAGGTTTGGGCCTCAGCTCGTTTTCACGAAACCACGTTTTACTAAAGGGGGGTCTGTCCAGCCCCGATCCAATCGGGTCGGGCGACAGGTGGGGATGGGTACCAGGAGAGGGGTACACGATCCGCTGTCTGCCGCCAGTTTTGGCCCCGCCACGGGGGGCATGTTCCTTGATACACTGGCGCCTCTGTCGCCTGGAGGCGCCGACAAGGACCGCCGCCCCCCTACAGGCTGGCTTGGCCCAGCCCCCTGCAGGCCGGCCTGGCCTCCCCACGGCGCGCCCGCGGCCTCCCTCTCCGAGGTCCGCCGCTGCCTCGAGGGCGCCTGCGCCGGCGACTCCCTCACCCTGCGCCTGGCCGGCGGCGGCGAGGCGCCGCCGGCTGGCTGGGAGGAGGAGGGAGGAGAAGGGAGGAGGAGGAGGAGGAGAAGGAGGAGGAGCAGGAGGAAGGAGGAGGAGGAGGAGGAGGAGGAGACTGAGGAGGAGGAGGAGGAGAGGAGGAGGAGGAGAAGAAAGAGGAGGAGCAGGAGGGAGGAGGAGGAGGAGGAGACTGAGGAGGAGGAGGAGGAGGAGGAGGAGAGAAAAAGGGAGGAGCAGGAGGGAGGGAGGAGGAGGAGGAGGTGGAGGGAGGAGGAGGAGGGGGAGGAGGAGGAGGAGGAGGAGGAGGAGGAGGAGGAGGAGGAAGGAGGAGGAGGAGGAGGAGGTGGAGGAAGGAGGAGGAGGAGGAAGGAGGAGGAGGAGGAGGAGAGGAGGAGGAGGAGGGGGAGGAGGAGGGGAGGAGGAGGAGGAGGAGGAGGAGGTGGAGGAGGAGAGGAGGAGGAGGAGGAGGGAGGAGGAGGAGGAGGAGGATGGAGGAGGAGGAGGAGGGGGAGGAGGAGGAGGAGGAGGAGGAGGAGGAGGGGAGGAGGGAGGAGGAGGAGGTGGAGGGCGTCGGCGGCGTCAGTTTCGTTTTCGTCGCTATTGCTGGTCAACGGGAGCGGTTCCTGGCGCTTTCGCCTCAACGCCGGGCGCGGGCGCGGTTTCGAATCCCAGACGTTGAAGCCCCAGCTACGACGACAGCGGGTCCCGCCCCGCACTTCCTCGCACATTCTTCCGAGACGCCCTGGCCAAAGAGACCCCCATGGACAGGAACGGAGCTGTTGCCCGAAGCACCCTCTCAAGTCAATCGAGTTGGTGAAGGCCCAGGCACGACGTCACGGCTCTCGCTTGGTACTTCCTCACAGGTCATACCGAGACGCCCTGGCCAGTGAGGCTCGGGCCCGACGAAAGGGGGGGATTGGGAAAGGGGGGGGTACGAAATCTGCTGCATGCAGCTGGTTTCGGCCCCACCGATGGGCTCATTCCTCGATACATAGCCGCCTCCGGCGCCGGAAGGCGCCGGGAAAATCAGCTACTTGAGCTGATTCTCAAACCCCCCCTTTGCTATCCCCCCCATTTCGCCCGGCCCGAGAGGCCCCAAAACTCAGTAATGGCATTCTCTCCCGAGACGTCCCTGCAATTCCCAAAATGTGGTGACGCCCCCAGCTAAGTACGGCGGCAGCAGCTGCCTCGCGAGACTTCCTCGAGAATTAAGTCCCGAGACGCTCCTCCCTTTCCGGGGAAGCCTCAAAACTCAAGAACGGCGCACTCGCAACTCGCTCCAGCTGGTGAACTGCTGGCGGGCGCGTTAGCTCACATGACGGTCATGACGGCGCGATGCGCAAAAAGGATACACTGCTGAGCGCTTCTTCCAGGAGGTGGTATGAACGTAAGCCTCCTAAAATTTGGACCTGCTCGTTCGCAAGCTGGACATCGTCGTTGTCGTCGTCGTGATCGTCGACGTCGGCTTTCGGCATGATCGCCGTTGTCGTCGTCGTCGCCGTCGTCGTCGGCGTTCGTCGCTCGTCGTCCCCGCCATCTTTATCGACTTCTCTGTCCCCCCTCCCCGTCTCTGGAGACGGCGATCAGGAACCGCCCCGCCGTTGGAAAGGCCCTTGGCCCACCGCTGCGCACTCAGACAGCGGAGTGATCTCGCGGGGGGTCTGGCACTAGTGACTCCGCAGCCTCTGTGATACAGTGGAGACCCATGCGAAGAACCACCCTGCTTGCCTCCAGGGTGCCCTGGGTTTCTTAGATTTCGACGGTTTTGCTGTGGAGAGCGTGACCTTCCCACACCAGAAGTCAATGGACGTCCTGGGGTTCCAGGGTTTGGGCTTCTTGTGGTCGGGCCCCCACTGTAGGGAACGTGCCGTCAGGATCCAGTGGGCGTGCCCGAATGATCCAATCGGGTCGGGCGACAGGGGGGGGATGGGGACCAGGAGAGGGGTACAAGATCTGTTGTTTGCCGCCAGTCTCGGCCCCGCCGCGGGGCAGGTTTCCTTGATACACTGGCGCCTCTGTCGCCGGGAGGCGCCGACGAAGACCGCCGCATGCAGCTGATTGATCTGGTGACCCCCTTCTTCAAGCAGCGGCGAAGCGTCCTGGCTCGCCTATAGCCCTACCAAACAATGCTCTAAGAACCTTTCTGGTGTTTTCCACGAGATGTTCTTAGAGCATTTCTGGCGGAGTCTGCCTTGTTTTGCCACATCGGGTTTATGTTCTAAGGGCAGTGTGTTTGTTCTTAGAACATTTTTTGCGTTCTAAGAACATTTCGTGACATGACTATGGGAATGCCGAGACGCTCGGTCCCTGCTCAACTTCTGCGCTCGCTCCGATACGTCTCTTTGAGTGGGCTGTTTCGGTATTTCGGGGTCGTCTGTGCCCTGCGGCAGGCGCGGCCGATGGGCAGGCCGCCACCCTGCAGAGCGAAGGGCGCCCGATGAGGCCGACGAGTCCGCGAAACGCGGTGGCGCGGGCTTCCTCGTGCTCTGCTGCAAAACTGCGCCGCACGACTAGGACTCATCATATTCGAGCGTGTAGCGTGAAGGATCCCATATTATGTTCGCTTTCTCTCTGGCTTGCTGTGCCGCGCGTCCTCCAGCCTGTGTGAGACCTCGGGGGAGTTGTGCGTCTTGAGTCCTGTCGGAGGCCCTTCGACTTCGGCCCTAGCTTAACCTTGCTATCCCCTCGAGCTGTGCTGCCGAGAAGCCTAGATACGTATGTCAAGTCTTATGTGCCCATGCATGATGGTCACGCCGTCCTGTATTCTGAATGCGCAACGACAATTCATTCCCCAATACAATCCAACGCAGCATTGCTTGCCTCCTCCCCGACCTCTTTCTTCCAGCGGGGCAAGACGCGAAGCGGTCACCGAGGGCCCTTTCTTGAAGCGCAACAATGATTTGTATAACGTTGGACAATGCCACATCGCGGTAATCAATGGGGTAAGTGGTGGAAGCTTGTACAACTCGAACGTCCAATGCCGCGATAGTTTCGGCACTAGCGGGAGCGCTTGACATAATCTCATCTTCAACGCGCGAGACCAGCATCTTGCCCAGTTGCGCAAGACCCGGGTCGACAAAGGCTGATCCTCTCGGAATTCCCTCCTGCTGCTTTTTTTGCCTCGCCCCCACCCCCCCTCCCGAGGATCTTTGGGCGGCGTCTGGGGGAGCCTGCTAAGTCTCGTAGGTGGTTAACCTGTTTGGCCGTTTGAGACCATCTCGGGGCGTCAGGGGCTTCCTCGGGTCGTCTTCCAGCCATCTTGTTGCTCTGACTCGGCGGCGAGCCCGGGGGGAAGTGAGAATGAGAAGGCCTTCTCAGAAGGCTCGGAAGCCCCCCCAAACAATGCATAAAACAACCAAGCAAAA